CGAACTGCACCAGGTAATCTAATCTTATCAAATACCAGCTTCAGTGCAGAGGTTGGCAACCAGTTGCTGGGTATACGAAGAGGCTAATAGGTGAAGCAGGCCCCCAGAACTACTCCACATGCAGAACAGCAACCAAAGTCAGGGTTAATGACCTATCTACTGTTACCCTTGGATCTACCATTGACCATCGAAATGGTTCTTCCGCTAGTTCTAGGTACTAATGTTACTTCTACCCAACATTAGGATATGTAACCCCATATCTGTGACCCTTTCAGATACTCCCTCTCTGGGTGAGAGAGCACCTAGGAGCAGTGATGATTAAGGGGCAGCTCCACTTTTCCCAAAACTCCAGAACCCCCAAACTAGAGTAAGGTAATACATTAAAGGTAAGGTAATAAATTAACCGACAGGTAACACCTCTAGGCGTGAAAACAAACCGTTCGAAAAGTGTCATGTGGCTGTACGCCACCACTGCGGTGCACCAAAGTGCGGCACGCCAGTGATTCGGGCTGATGTACTGAACTTACGCACTCAATTGTTTGCCAGAGCATAGAGTTTTTGTTTTTTTTCTTCTTCACCCGTCACCATTGGATTAAAAGAAATTATTTGGAGACACTGGTTATTTGACCATTTCCAAGGCCTACTACTGGTGAGGCTCCTGTTGCTCTAGAAGGAATGTAAACATCCATTCCTGGAATTGAGATTGCTGGACCATCTGTTTCTGAATCATAAACGAGTCTGCCTTTCTTAGCTGTTTACTTTCCTATCCTTTAGATAGCAAGTGCACATAGGGGAATTTGCATTATGCTTTTGATGGCAGTTCACGCATTTCCAAGGAATATTTTTGTCTTCAGAAATATTTGCATACTCTCGAGCTTTCATGAGGAGAGTTTTAGCATTGTGGGGGGTCTTGTAGACATGCACATACTCCATGTCCCCTTATTAACCCATTGCCTCTGCTCCAGGTATAATGAGCAGGCAACTGGCTTGCCTCTAGGGCCTTTTTTTCCGACGAGGCCAGTGCAGAGCAGTCACAGAGCCAAACTAACAGTGATTTTTTTTCTTATATCACTATTCAGAAATGCATGATAAGCTTTTTACTTGCAAGATCAAACCTATAGTAGCCTAATTATGTATATCAGAGTCCAATTCAATAAATACAGTATGTCATACTCTGTGTACAAGTTTGAATGTGGCTTTATTGACAGAAATTTTGGTAGGTGGCATCTTCCATGCTTGGCAGTGAATGATAATTTCCTAAAATTTGCCCTTTACATAAAAAAATAGTCAATCATAGTGTTAAACATCCTTTTCTCCCTCAGGTAATGCCCAGGGGATGTGATGTGGGTTCCTTATAAAGAACACCATAAAATGTAATGCATGATCCATATGACCCATCCCCTGGAGATTTATCCAAGACAGCTGTGACGTGAATAAAATGTCAACTGGAGCCACAAGTAAGTCAGCCATGGCATGAACCATGTCATTCATAAGCTATGAGTTAGGAAATTTCAGCAAGATGGGGTCAGAGACATGAAGATGGCACACCTAATGGTGCCATTGCTTTGACCATTTTGATGGTCAAGGGGATTACCTCCCCCTTGTATAATATGATAACCTTCTGGGTTATCCTTCTTTTACTTTTTATTCACCTGACTTTTATAACACTCTCAGTGTATAATGTCTTTTCTCCTATCTCGATTTTCTTTGGATATCATACATTTTCTATATCACTTGAACTAATAGGTGTTACATGGGCAGGAATTTGTTAATTCTTCCATTAATTCTGAATTCTTTTCATCCCAATTTTTTAACTCTAATGATCCATTTGCTTTATTGTAAGAACCCATTTTTAGAGTCTGGAATACCCAGCAATGAAGATTCTCTATAAAGTACACAAAAAATTTACCTGAGGGGGGGGGGGGATAAATTTCCAGAGGCAGATAGTTGCTTCGATTTTTTTTATTCTCTCCCAAGGCACCACCAATATCTTTCTCCACGGAGAATTCATATATGCCTTAGGTTCCAGGGTTGGCTTGCAGCTATATCCCATCAGTGGGAAGGATAATCCCTGAAATAATCAGGGACCAAACCAAGTGCCTGCCTTTGCAAATAACTATTCATACAGATGGTCACCTATAGGGCCTCACAGCATATCTGTGAGTTTACATAGGAATCTCTCAATACTTTTGCTTTCAATGTTTATACTTTGCTCACTTTCAGACTTTATGATATAGGAAAAACTATCATGAACTGGTTTAGTAGTATATACCTGGCAGGTCTGTGAAGACCTAAATGTCAGGTCAAACATCTATCTAATGAAGAAAGCCATAGGCCATGAATCATAAATGGTGATGGGTGGTGGTGAGGATTACTATTACTATTACTATTACTCTTACTATTACTATTACTATTACTATTACTAGCTTACTATTATTAGTGGTTGGTGGTAGTGAGGGGATTTTACTTTTACATCTCATTACAATAACAATAGGACACTTACTGTGTATTTTTCTGGCAGTCCTTCCATTTCTCTGGCTTCCTTTAGTTTGGAGTGTTTCCGCTGGAATATCTCACATTTCTCTTCTCCTGCCCGTAGCTGGTAAAGAATATCACAATAACATGACTCCTTAAATACCAAATACAGTTTAATAGGATACTTTGGTGGTATGACCAGGGAGATCTAAATGCTTTTGCCATAATCAAAACCATTACAAAAAAGTTCATGATAAGAACAGTCATATCACGATGATGGTGACTGGTGGTTACTGACGCAGTGATTTGGATGGCAGTGTTGGCAGAAGCATGTAGAGATATCATCCTCGTCAACAGTAACTTTAAAAATTATTGAAGAAAAGCTTTATGTGGGATAGTCTAATCACTACTAGTATGCTAGATGTAACCCGTATAAACTACATGATATAATCTTACTCCTGTTTTTTTCCCCTGTATTTGTTATCTATAAGGGAGATTATAATTACTATGTAAAAATTAGTTTATAAAGCTTTTCTTTGTAACTTTTAAGTAATAACTCAATGAGGTGACATTTTACTCTGAATAAGTACTGTAAATGGACAAGTTCAAACACATGCTTGATTATCTTTACTAAAGCAACATGTTTTGAATAGTAATAATAAACAAAAAAAAAATTACGGGAAAAACGGTGATCACCTGGGTATGTAGAAGGCTTTATCAGGAACAATAGTAATAATTAAGAGAGAGAAGGAACAATTGAAAGCCGCTGATATTAGCTAATACAAGGTAAATCTACTTGATACATAGAGTACTGTGAGATATCTATAAGCCCACTGTGCACCACAACAACTTATATCAGCTATGAGTATCTTCTGGACCTTTGGAAAGCATCATGAGCAAATATGGCAAGATAATAGACAGCAGTGAGACATATCTTCTGTACACATGCACATATCATCATCCTGGTTACCATTACTTCTCAAGAGATTGAGAGTATCTTGGATTGCCAGGTTCTTCAAAGATCTCAATTCCTTTTACCTTAGGTCTAAGACTTTACTACTCTACCTAATAAGCCAGTAGATTTGCATCAAATTACTCCGAGATCTACATCAATTTAGATGTTTTTTTTTTTTTTTTTTTTTTTTTTTATTAACATGGGACTTCTCCTTAACCCTAACTACCCAACATTTCATAATGAAGCTTAAGATCTGCAACTCCTCATTAGACTAGGAGAAAAATTGCTTATCACTATATCCTACCTATCTGTCTTCTGTGCTACACACACACTAGTGAGTCATGCACTTGATTCAGCCTATGCATGTGACAGACATGTTGTACTACTGCAATTTGTACTTAGGGCTAGTTCAATTTATGCAGGTCAACAGAAGACTCTTTGAATTAGAACATAAAATCACGTATGCAGGTTCAACATAAAATTCAATGAAGTTCTCATATGCCAACTATCTTTACATTTTTCTTCTATTTCTCAGAGAGAGGACAGAAGGAAGGTGAAGAAAAGAGACGGAGGGAGAAGAAAGTAAAAAAGAAAGTATAAGAAAGAAAGAAAAAAGAAAAAAAAGAAAGAAGAAAAGAAAGAACGAAAGATTTATATATATATATATATATATTATATATAGAGAGAGATAGAGAGAAGAGAGAGAGAGAGAGGGAGAGAGAGAGAGAGAGAGAGAGACGAGACGAGAGAGAGAGAGAGAGAGAGAAAGAAGCAGGGGGAGAGAGGAAGAGAGGGAGAGAGGGAGAGAAGAGATGGAGAGGGGAGAGAGGGAGAGTGGGAGAGAAGGAGAGCGGGAGAGAGGAGAGAGGGAGAGACGAGGAGAGAGGGAGAGGAGAGGGAAGAGGAGGGAGAGAGGAGAGAGGGAGAGAGGGAGAGAGGGAGAGCGGGAGAGGGAAGGTTTAGTTTGATTCCATTTGTTACAATGGATATTCTTTGGTGTGACATACTATCTGTTCATCTTGCTTCTAAGTTATCCACCTGTGTGCAAAGGAAGGCCGGGGTTACATCCCACTGGCAGCGAGGGATTTGAACGCAGGTCAGCAAGATTGCTAGAAGAGTCGCTACCGCTGCATCACCACAGCACAGAAGGGAGAAGAAGAGAGAGAGGAGGGACAAGAGAGAGAGGGGGATGGAAAGAGAGAGAGGGGGGGGAAAGAGAGAGAGGGGGAGGGATAAGAGAGAGAGAGGAGGGAAAAGAGAGAAAGAGACGAGACGAAAGAGAGAGAGAAGACTATCTCGAGACGAGATGAGAAAGAGAGATGCAGAAAGAGAGAGAGAAAGAGGGAAAGAAGAGAGAGAGAGAGAGGAGAGAGAGAGCGAGAGGAGACGAGAGAAGAAGGGAGAGAGATGAGAAGAGAGGTAGAGATCGAGAGAGAGAGAGAGAGAGAGAGAGAGAGAAGAGAGTGAGAGAAAAGAGAGGGGGGGGGGGGTAGACAGAAAATGAAAAAGAGGAAGAAGAGGACAGAGAGAGATAATATATATAGCTGGGCTTAAAAAACTTTATTACCATCTTATAACCTAAACATTGCAAACTTTTGATTCTATAAAATGACAAAACAACGTACATTTAGTGCATGTAGGCTGACGAAAAAGTGGAAATCTTTTCAGTTATAGGGGATCCAACTGCATTATTATAGTGCCTTAATTTGTACATATCTGTGCCTCTGATAAAATGAAAGTTTATTTAATGTTACAGAGATCGATGCACAGAGATAGAGGAAATGGACATGCCATCTTGAGAGACTAAGAAACAACATAAAACAACACAGGTAAGCTGCTCTGGCCTCATATTTACTGAAAAATAATGAAAAATTCATGCATATCGTACATTCAGAGACAAAGTCGTGCAACACCCTTGCATGGCCAGAGCTCTTAATTCGTGTTTTCTGTAAGTCGCCAGAAGTTATTCCCGTTAAAGGAATAAATAGAAGGTAGGAAAGGATACGTTTGGATTTTAGGGTTTGAATGATTACCTTGTTTCGGACTTCCTCTCTGGAGGTGCATCGCTCTCGTAAACAAATACCGAAAGTTTATCTACGTAGCTTTAATTAAAAAAAACTTATTTGGCAAACTGATTGAGACCTCCTTTAGACACATGTGCCCCATAGAGTGAAACCAGCAATGAAGTGCATGCAACTCATATCAAAAGAGAATGAAAAAAACTAAATTATGATCACCTGCATATATAACACTACAATCTTTCCTGGATCATTCTCCACAAGCAGGAAAAGAAACTGTTATGCAAATCAAAGAAGTCAATTTACTATGGTATTGCCTTTGTTTTTCTACAATATCTTTAATGGCATTCCCACAAGGGGCGTCACTTCCTGTTATGAGTGGGTGGTTTTTTTTTTTTGGGGGGGAAAACGGGTAAATTTGCCCTGAAAAAAACAATTTTTGCCCTGCCAAATCACGAAAAAGAAAATGCCCACTAGCTCTTTATAAGTTAGCCCGGAATTGACCATCAACAGTATTACAAATGATAAATGAACAAAACGACAAAAACGTAAAACTTAACTAGAAACTTATTCCAACTACCAAAAAACAAGAAATCTATAACGAATAGAACAGGGTTCAAAAAATTAATTTAAAGCTTAGACATTAGAACTTGCGCCAGAAAAAGGTTATAAATCAACGTATCATCAACAATTAGCTTCATATAGTTATTTATATATCTTGAATACTTATTGGCTATTGAGGGCAGATTCCGTAAGGAGAAAATTTGCCCTGCAGAACAGAATTTTGCCAGCCAAAAAGAGGCTTTTTAGAGTTGGGGGGTTTTTGAACACCCCCAAAGCCCCTCTTAAGTGACACCCTGCCCACACCAAATGAAAAAGGTGAGCAGTAGGCCTAGGTGTTGGAAGAAAGAAGAGGTGGAGCAGGTAGGCCTACATGTGATAGTACCAAAAAACAGGTGTCGACTATTCTGGAAGGAATTAGACACAAGTAGTGGACCAGTGTAAATGAGGTGAATGAGGAGAGAAGTTACTAAAAAAGAGGAAGAGAGAGGCCGAGGACTGAGAGGTTAAGGGAGAGGACGGACGGCTTAGAAAGGCGTAAGAACGAAAAGAAGAACTTTTAAAAGGTGGATAACATGACAGAGATTACGAAGACGAAGGACGAGCAGGAAGGCATGAGAAACAGGTGGTGGAACAGGTGGAACAGGTGGAAGAGCCGGATCTGTACAACATCTGTTCCACACCAACAAAGTCCCGTACTTTGGCCTCTTCCTGTGTTAATTTCCCGGTCTTCGTCGCCTTCCCCTTTTCGTCTCGTTCTTCCTTCTCTCTTCTCCCTCGCTTTCTCAATACGCGGAGAGAGGAAACATATAAAATGAACTAATGGGACAATGATTTAAAAAAAAAGGAAGGAATTATCTCACTAAACCAAAACACAACAGATTTTCCTTCAAACACACTCCTCTACAAAACACGATGACCCACATATTTTTCCTTTTCGTTATCGGCCTTACCCCACTAATCTTGACTGCAAGATTCTCCAGCTGGCCAGAAGTAGAACGTGCAAGGGACAAGAATCAGTCCCAAGAAGCAGCGTGTGACATATGAAAAACGTCGAGCCTGACTCCTTCGTACCGAATTTCTGACCTGCCATCTCGGTGGTCCAGTCGCTACTGAGGATGTGTGTGCTGCGAGGGGTGTCAAGCGAGAGTCTTTGTATGGGGTATAATAGTATATAGTCAATTGAGCATCTTTTCTTTAGTTCTTTTATTTTTTTTTTCCATATTTTGTATTTCTTTAGTCTATTGGTTCTTTGCAGTAAGAGCATTTCACTGGGAAGTGTTGAATCTATTTTTTGGAAGGTTGAATTCTATTTTTTATATAATAACTGTTCCTATGTTATTGTTTATTTTTTTACAAGTTTGTGTTTTTTTAATAGAATTAGAAACCTTGAGTTAAAATTCAAAGACATTAAGCTATAGATATATATAGATAATTACGCAACTATAGTCGGTGTGGTTTATGCATATAAATGATATACAAGGGTAAGGTTGTTACACTGCATGCACGATAAAGAGCATTGGTAAACGATACCATAAATTCGATTTCCTTGTAGTTTTTTTGGAGTTTGGGATAATAATTCAGTACCAAGACAACGTTTGGAGGTAATGAAATATCCTACTTAATTACGACATACACAAATCTTTCTTCAGAGATGGCTATACATTCTACTCTCATAATCTCATGTTTATACAATATAATAATCCAAGAAAATCGCAACCGACTTTCGAATAATATTTAGTAATAATATATTTTACGTTATTTCTTCGACAAATATCAGAAAAATAAAAAATATCTATTTGTTGTACTAACTATTTTATCTTTGCGACAAGCAGGCTATCCTAAGTCGAAATAACAGTACCAAAATATAGTAAGAATAATACACCATTATTTCTTCTTAACGGATTGTTCTATCCTTTCTATCCAACAGAAACCACGGATATACTACTCGTTCATAAGCGAAAAAGAACAAACTAAAAGCGATAAAAAAAAAAATGCAATAGCAGATTTTAAAAGCAGAATGGAGGAGGGAGGGGGCGGGTCCTAAGCGTACAAAAATATATAGACGTACGATCGGGAAAAAGTAGAGTGATACGTCACAACGTCATCACCTAAGTCATCACCTTAGTCATCAGCGAAGGTCCTCTTCAAAAGGACCACTAAAGCTCATTTAGCGTGTGGCAATGGATGAGAGAGCACCCAAGCTGGATGTGTACTGATAGTATCAGCAAATATGAGGAGTCCATAATGCAACAGATGAGAAGGGCTAGAGAAGGTAATAAAATGATAAAGGATTTATAAAAGTAATAATACATGGCACAGGAAGTTGACACGTGTAAACGGCCATGTTTAGCCTTTTAATTTATTTTTGTAAGGCATTAAATATTGTAACATTTGCTTAGGTTTACGCTATGCCAAGAAAAGAAAAATAAAAAGGCTGTATTTTGGCATAGATATAAACTAGGCATTCCCCAAAAAAAATGAGTAATAAAAATATATCCTATATACCGTGTTATTGCATAATGTTTGAATCTATGATTACAGTTATGACGACTTGATAATGTATCGGCTGAATTTCCATAGTTTTGATTAGCAACAGGATTAAGCCAGTATAAACTCGTACCCAGACATGGCTATATAACATTCAGACGTATGTTTCGCCGGCCTCGTGCTGCGAGGGGCGAAGGCATAACTGATGGTCAGGTAATAAGTAATGTTTCAGTGTGTGATTTGAGTAAGTTCGGGAATGGACGACTACACCGATTTTCCTAGAAATAATAGTTTTTTTTTCTATAGTTTTCGTCGTGTTATCGACCGAATCTAGCACTATTTCCTCGCAAAACAAAGCCACAGCTTAGATATCGCCCGATAAGTAGGGAGGAATATGATGCTTGGTATTTTTGGGGAGGGACGGGGTCGCCTCCACAAAATCGGTAATTCACGGGAAGCAAAATATATCCACTTCCAGGTTATATAGGGTGCTTCGTCATCTTAAAATCCCTGTGGGGGGCTGCACTCCAAACCCCCTGGTCCAACAAAATCTCACCTCGAAGTTCGGCAGGAGATGAGAACCTAGACCCAGCAGCAGTTTTTACCCAGACCTAAACCTCAAGCATCATCTCGGGGTCTTTCAGGTCGTTGTGGCGGGAAACGCGATCGCTCTCCGCCGTTCCTCTTCGGGCAGCGGGGAGTTCGACGAAGAGCTGTGGATGGACTGGTCTTTTCTGGAATGGCACGGTGCCTACAGTTCAGGCAACAGTACTTCCACGGCAGGACACCGTGAATTCGCGGGTATAATGCCACTCGCGTCGTTATGTCAGTATTTTACAATGAATTCGAAGTATTA